GACGGTAAGCGTCCTCAGTACTTCATTTGCCAACTCAGTCGTCCGGTAAGCAGGAGATGGATGATCCGAGTCCATAATACTCGAGTCTTTTTGTTGGCGCTATGTGTAACCGGTCTTCTTAGTTCATAGTGCTGATTGCTATTAGGTACTTAGACATGTCCACAGACCACCAGTGAAGGAGTACATCACAGGTGGGGATGTTTTGGTTTTCTGGATGAGTGTCATTTGGTGAGGCTTCAGTACACTTCACAAAGTTACAGTCGACAAAGTAGTGACTGTGCGCTATAAATATCCTGTTCTGTGAACTGGTGTAACAGCGACCTTATTTGCTATTCTGGTTATCGTACAGCATTTCATTTATGCTTTACTTCTTTGCAACTTAGACCCGTTTACCTTTTGAAACAAGTGAAACAGTCTTGTTCACTCATCTGCATACCAATTTGGTTTCCACGGGAGATTCACCTGGGACCCAACTGAATCTATCGTTTATGATATTCCTCAGCGGCGTATTCACTTGAAGAACACCCTAAACAAGGATTCAGCTGATTTTAAGGTAAAGTTCTTGGGAATGTCGAAGAGATTTGAGGAGCCTTTTTACGTCTATACAACTGAGATAAACATTACAATGAGCGTGAACTGGAAGTGTTGGTTGGCACTGCAAGATGTGTTACTCCTTATTCATGACTTATTAGTAAAAGTTTACGCAGGTAAAAGGGAAATACCGACGTCTGTATATTGTATGTGTATAATGTTAACTTGGCCTGTGCTCTGACTTCATTCATCCCAGTCACAACTGCCTACACACCTGGAAAAGATCCGTGTTGATTGTCATCAAGTGTAATTCTGACCTACACACCCTACCCACTTCTTAATCAATTAAACCTATCCATAGTAATCGTCTTTTATCATTTATGGGACCAATTTGAAGAAGCTTCTCCGGATTGATTTAATACAACTGGCGGCATATGGGACGTCCAGCCCAATGTTCGCTGAACATCCGTTTGTCGTCCTAACCGAGTAATCAAAGCTGCACTCCTTAAGGATGGGGACGCACAGAATGTCTTTCTTCAAGATCAGTGACCAGGCTGAGCAATTCTTGGAAGCACCACTGGGGATCACTCTATCTCTTGTAGTCAAGAATGAGTCAATTCGATCGATCATCGACCCGAGTTGTGAACGTATTGAAGAAAATGCTGGACGACGAACGACACAATAAATTCCTGATCAACGCATTTATCCCGATGAAATAGTAGCGTAGGTTATGCCCATTAATATTGACCTGTTTAGCCTTGAAATGTCAGTTGTAAGCTGTAAACAACTTATGTGACGATCCTTGCGGTCGATGCATCCCTGTCTGAAATGGATGTTTAGGAGGCCATCAAAGTGCGACAAAATACTCCCATATTACTTTGCGACAGTGTGCTTTTACAAGAACCTTTTTCGACAAAATTACTTTTGTAGGTAAATTCTTTTATTCACTTTTGGAGGAATACCTTTCAGTTTAGTGGTCCCGCAAACTCCGATCTGACAGGTCCGAGGCCAACTGTTTGATGTTCTACCGGTTTGACTGAGGTCTAGTAAGTAATAGGACATGTTTGAAATGTTTAGTGGCATTTGAACCATTCGTGAGATGAGCCGATTGAGCTAAAAGAAAGCCACAATTCTTTTCGATTTATCGGGTCACTACAATATACGGTCAATTAACAAGTCAATGAGTGAGCATAACCTGGTGTCACACCGGAGCTTAGTCCTCAATGAGGTGAGGATGTATGGTTCGGCAGGCAGCTTGTCTGAATTGCTGTTCAGATGAAGATCTTATCACATTGTGCTGGTACCTTCTTCTAACCGACACTTCGTAGGTCTGGTTCGATAACCTTGCTAATCCCAGATCAGAGGGAAGGGAATCTGATTGATGTTGAGACGACGCTCCACATATTAGCTATAAAATCACTGCTGTTCAAATTAGAGATTAATTATGACCGCATAGTAGAACCGTGTCGTTAATAGTTTTGGGGTAACACTATGCAAAACAGTCTGAAAGTCCATCTGAACACTAGAACAGATAAGACAACAGTTTGATGGCCGATAAATGCATGCGAACTTGTCCCTGCTTCTCATTCATTTGACGTAGTGCGATGTGTGTTTGGTAAAAACGGTTCATTTCACTATGCCATGCTCAGTACTTTAGACGTCAGGAGCAATTCCTCAAAAAGCCCTTATGACGCTTGTTTTTTTGAAGGATTATTTGAGTGTTCAATGGTTTTGTCGCAAACGCAGTCTTTGTTGTTCATATTGTCATGGTTTGTGTGAACAAAACGTACGGCGACAACGGATTTGACTGCACCGACATCGACAGGTGTGGACCGGCTCGGTCAACGAGACTAGGTAGGATTTGGGGAGAATCACAATGGGTGAGCTAACAAGGATAAAGCATTTTCTCTGTCTTGCTACGTGTATATGTAATGATCGCCAGTCTCAAGCGCACCTGGACCACATACCTACAATCCACGTTTCGGCTTGGACGTCTATTGATCTATTCTGTGCAAGTTCTCACCAACTTGGGTACAGGTTTTATTCGAAGAATCCTTTTTTCTTGCTTTTGGGTATCGCGTCGATGTTAGGAGCTGTGCACAAGCCATTGGAAAAGGACTGATTATTACTGGGTGTGCTTCTTTGTTGACAGCTTACTATTCTTGAGTTTCATTGGCAAATTTTCGGGGTCGTGGTTACACGCGGCAAGCACATGGCGATGTTTTTATCCATAGGATTTTTCTTCACGGAATGATCGTTGTCCACACCGAGCATAATATGATACTGTGTAAAAGCTCACTTGCGAATTGACTGTGAGATACTGCTATGCGGATTGTGTTCGCTGGTACACAACCAGTAGAATCCTTCGAGTAACTCTGTTGGCTAGCCTAGTAGCCCGAATAGTTCCTTGAACACCGTTCATTCAGTGGGTGCCTGTAAGAGCGGAACCAAGTGGTGCCTCATTGCACATGCTTCATATTCACTTCAAGAGTTGTTTGCTTATTTCTCACAGGTCCGTATCATCCAAAGAGTGATAAATATATTAGGTATAAAAACTAACGATGCCGGTACAAGGCGAGTGAGGTCACTGTTGCTTGCAGGAATTACTGATTCTGTGAAAACTGGCATCAAAGTGTAGGTGCCACACACAGGCTGCATAAGTATCCTATGTATTTACTCTATCCTGTTAACCCACTCTGACACACAAATAGACGAGCGGTAAAGCATGTGACCGTGGATTGCATTTTCTCGTTCAAGTTGATAGGACACTAAGCTGCGCCGTAGTGTACGCTGATTTTCCGCGCGCACCATGGCAGATTTAGTCGAACTAGAAAGAGAAACAGTTCCGGTTGAAGACGATAGTTACTACTGTCCAAATTTTCTTCACCTCGTCATTTCCATTCGTGGTAGAGTATTTGCTCCTTTGGTCTCCTGATGTCTGCGGAGATAAAATAATGGTTTGAACTCCGCAGGGGGAACTCCTAGCTTTGTTTGAAAGAATATACAACAATTCAACAACGCCACCGTCCTCCAGATAACGGTTTGTTTTCAGAATGGTTGTGATTTGACATAGACGTCTGTGCTAACATATGCCTGCCTCCGTAATTCCGCGCGCACCTGGCAGATTTAGTCGAACTAGAAAGAGAAACAGTTCCGGTTGAAGACGATAGTTACTACTGTCCAAATTTTCTTCACCTCGTCATTTCCATTCGTGGTAGAGTATTTGCTCCTTTGGTCTCCTGATGTTTGCGGAGATAAAATAATGGTTTGAACTCCGCAGGGGGCACTCCTAGCTTTGTGTGAAAGAATATACAACAATTCAACAACGCCACCGTCCTCCAGATAACGGTTTGTTTTCAGAATGGTTGTGATTTGACATAGACGTCTGTGCTAACATATGCCTGCCTCCGTAATTCAGCTATTCCTCTGAAATGATAGAAGTTGCCTGGTCTTTTCTAACTCGTTATGGAAGAGAATTAATGTACCAGTTGATTTCTACCAAAAGACAACCAACTTTATGTTTATTTCTTCGAGAATACCTTACTTGTTCCATTGTATTCAAACTTGTAAGGACACTGTGCCCTTGTTTTACCTTACGACGAAAATATAGACTTATTGTCCTTGAGAGGATGAAAATTCTAGAGGTGTTTGAAGACCGTTTTCTCAGTTCTCCTTCCCCAAGGTTTTCGTCACGCCAGTTGTGTGATGCACCTTCGCATTCGTTTTCTGAATTCTAACACCTTTCAAATACCCTTGAAAAACAGCCGCGTGAATTTTTTTATATCAAAACACCTGGCACTTTATCAGCTTTTTAGGGTGCGATGTGCCAAAATTGTGCTTGTATTATAGTGTATTATAGTCATGAATTTACAAAGCAATCTTGGTTCATGGTTCGGATGAATGTAGAATCTCCTAAATGGAGCTGAGCTCATTTCGGGACCTGTCCAGAGATTGTCCCACAAAATAGGATAATTTCAGTTCGACGTCACCCTGATCAACATTTCCAAGAGACCGATTGCTGGTTTTAAGCTATGGCACCGCCTTCCTGCACATTTCGTGCGATAAAAGAGACCAAGGTATCCTAGGGCCAAAACCTGAGAAGGTGGACACATGTTTGTTGATGGTTTGTGCGCTAAATGCATGCAGTGCGCTGAGATTACCTCAACCTGTTGTTCGAAGTTAGAACTTGTATATGAAGCTCATACACTAACTGACAGGAGCAATAGTGCCCTGAAGTGACACGATTCTAACATCACATTGCTAACCATTACCAGCTCTCTGGATAGGTGTAATAGGTTACATCGATATCATTTAATCGCTCATAGTATTGTTGCAGTAAGGCCCTCGGACATGAATGCAGCAGACGCCGAATCCGAAGCCATTCGGCACCCGTTTCAGCTTCCTGCTATACTAAAATAAGACCTCAGCATAACAGAAATGCAGCTTCTGTTTGACTTTCATCGTATCAGGTGCCGAACCACAGTTTGACTTCGTCGGAAAAGTATGTGCAGTCTTCGTTTGATAGGCTGCAAGCAAGGCTGATCCACGACATGTATGGAATCTGACACTGCTTCATGAACGCCTATGATGAAGGGTTTTGTTGCAACCTCTTAGCAACCTATCCACTTGAACCTTGAATCAATGATAAATCAACGCGATTCAGATTCCACAGAGTGGTATTTATTATCACAGAACGGGCTGTAGTTGTGCAAGGACGTAAGAACTGTTTTATGGTCCAAGGGGGGTCATAGTATCGGTGGCTACCTCCCAGAGGACAGGGCGAAGCTTGAAGATGATCTGGAAAAGTTTCAGCGGCAAAGAGCTAGAGAGAATTTCCGGTTATCTTATTGGAGGCCAAGAATTTTATGAGTAACCCCAACACGGACACCACCAATCACACTAACAGCTTATAAGGAGAACAACCAAGCTCTATTGGAGTTGTGATCATGACACATGGATAAGATTTTGCATAAAAACATCTGATGAATCATTAACACATGAAATTTATGGTATTTGAAAGTTCAGACTCAGCCATTGGAATAATCTGCGATAAACCCCATTTGAGGCCAACCAGACAGCCCTAATCGCGTGGGAGCTTCTTTTTAACCCCGAAGGCCGAAGTGCCACCCAGTCAAGCACATGGTGCGACCATACTGGAGTGCAAGAAAGCGTCCGATGCAAAGCAACTAGTCTCATAAGGGATACAAGAATACAGGAATAATAAGTCAAGTGTTGGCTATGCTTTCTTTGTCAGTGCTTGACTATACGAAAAGGTTTGACAGTGGGGTTGGGGGCACTGAGACAACCTAGGGGGTTACACTTCACCCTCCGACGACCAGTTGAAAAAAATCGCTGCTGATCTGTAAACACGTAAATCAAACGCGGTTTTATGTAACTGTGTGCAAAGACCCACGGGACTAACGGAGATATGATTCGCTACTTTCTGTCCGGCCATTTTCCTGAAGAAAGAGCGCATTTGTGACCTTGGGTCGCTTGCAGTTCTTAGTGATAGCGCTTGAGCGCAAGCAACTGGACTTGTAACTTCTAAACCATTCTGTTCGGTGAGTTGTGAGCGACTGGAAAGCTTGAAGGATACGTGGATGTGAAGTCTGTGGGCAAATTTAAACGTTTCAACTGAGTGCTCTTTCAGACTTTTGGACCGCCTTGAAAAGCGTCACATTATTCCAAAAGATCAACCTGATTCGACTTGCAATTCAGAACAGCCGTAGCACTGCCGATTCACGTATGACATCACTTCAGAGAGGCAAGATAAGATTATGACTACTATAGACAGACGCAAAACTGATGTTCGGAAAAGCCCCAATACAAAGGGAGGTTGCAACACTAAATATTTTCGAGGAAACTGTATGCCGAATAATTTTTCATGTATAGCTTGTAAGATCATAGAGACGAGCAAATCTTCCAGGGTTCAGTGGGGATTCCGCAAGACTCTTATTTGACTGAAATTTGGTCTCCAGAGTGTATGGACAGAGACATAGCATCTGGAATGATATATATGTCGTATATGTCATCAGAAATTTCGACAAAGTCCCCAGAAACGGTGGTCAGCGAACTAAGTGTGATAATTTACGCAAGATTTCGGAGTTGCCTTCTGTGCGGTAATTCCCTATCGGAGCCAAATCAAAGTATCTTTGGTGACACTTCATCACTGGTCCTGCAGTTTTTAGTCCACAGTTAACGGTAGACTTTCAGCTGTTCAGTTCCCTTGTCTTAGATGTGGATATGACATCAAGTAGTAGATAGTGATCACGACTTTGACTTTCTTCAATGAAGTCTGAACTTTTTTGTTGAATTAGTTAGAAGCGTCCAACTGTCCTCAAATGCTTACCAGTCTATCAGCGGTGAAGCTGGCATCGGTGTCTTTCATTGCAACAGATTACTGCATTCAGAAAGAGATTCCTGGGCTACGGCAGCAAACACCTTCAAGACAAAAGCCCATATAAGTCGAATTTAGGCGATGGTGAGACTATGCTAGTCCATATACGCTTACGCCTGCAGCATTTGAAATAACAAACACGTGCGTCTCCATCTGCAGTGCGTGGCATCCGGGGAATTGTGATAAGCCGGAAAATGTATATGGCTAAACTGGAGTTTCCAAATATACTTTCTCAAGGTGACCCGATTACCCCCTGAGCAGCGAGACGAGTACATGGATACTGGCAACTTGATCAGGCTACTCGTGAGTAGATAAATAAATAGGTAAAAGAAGAGCCGACAATGGAAATCACCAAAATTTAATCCTACCACAGCTTTATTCCTTCAAAAATACTAGTTTGTCTCCTAGTGTTGTCGTGTGCTTTAAAGTTCTGAGGATGCCACCCTAACGATTTTCCCACTGCTTGGCAGAGAAAATGCTCTCGTGCAACCGTGACACACCGACCTGCAATGAAACTATGCTTTTCACGTAAAAACTGCGTTTCAACGCTGGTGCAATTGCATCAAGACAGTTATTGAGCAACTATCGAGGCTCAATCTCAAAAGCCGCTAATTCCCGCTCCTAGAATGACATTTCATTTTGGAAAGCTTCAGCCCTATAGATAAAAGAGTTGACAGCTCAGATAAGGTGAGCTCCCCGAGGCTCACAATTTTGTTTCAAACCTATCTCCACCAACCAAAGCGTCATCGCTTGCTTGTTTTGGAATGGTGTGCGCCTGTACTATTCGTTCTGGGTACTGCTTAGCAAGCCGCCTAATTCTGTGTCTGTCTTTTTCATAGACGTTTTTCGGTGGAAATGCCAATAACACTTTCAGCTACCTCAACAAAGAGCCATTATACCACTAACGCTAATACGGATGAATTTCACTTGCGTTATTTCGCAGCAAAATGTTTGAGGAGGGTTCATATTCATGAATTCGTACTTCTGTCTGTCCCCGTGTAATCTATCCAGTTTTTGGTGTTAATTAGCTGTCATGAAAACAGTTTATTATGCCAACCGATGAGATGTTAATCTGAATATTACTGATTTGACAATCTAGATGGATTGTTTGTCAGACAGCTGATCAATTGGTTCATTCAGGCTATGTTGCGCAGTCGGATACCGTGCTACCATTAAGCATGGATTAGATACCTTACGAGAAATCGAATGGGTGTTTAAATGCATGGCTATAGGATGGATGCTTGTGGACAACTTCAAAGATTATGAAGATAGCTTTCAAAATGTGTGTTAGTTATCCTGCTGAAGGATTTACACAAACAAAGAATCGGTTGGAGACATGACAACTGGACAGGCGGGAAATGGCGGGCAGTTCTGAATTACAGTGTACCATTAACTTCAATCGTACGCAGTCATACTTAGCTTCACCCATACTTCACTCATATTGTCCCCGTTTATCCAAACTGGCCCTGAGTCGTTCCGGTTGTCTGCAAAATATTAACTAGAATTTCCAGCGAGATCGTAAGCTATGTAACCCTGTCTCAAATTATCCACCCCGTAGACAGCCCAAAAAATTTGTATACCATAAAGCTCGCTTTTCGTCAACTCAGAAGATTAGTGGCCATACTACAGGCAATGCAATATTGCCCTATTTAGAAGCCAGTTGTAAACTACTTACGTGATCATGACCAACCTGTCAAAAGGTTTACTTACATCATTGCAAGAGAGGTAAAAATTCAGACAACTTGCATGGGAAATTAAAGGCTCAAAATGCTTTGAAGGGTAGGAGTGCTGAATTTCACAGGAAGAAGGTGCACCTATTCTAGAGTCACTTAGGTTTGAAACGGAGTTCTCAATATTGGGGAAAGTCTTTCATCTGCAGAATGAAATCGTTCTTGTCCACTTGTCCACAGAACGGATAATTCGAAGAGAATGGCGTATTTTTCTGTTGCACCGGAATACCATACTTTCAGCATTTCAAACCTTGTCCAAGGAAATTTTGGTTGATGTTTTGTGGCTGTATGGCTTTAGTTCCCAAGTCACATAGACTGCATTCACTCATTGAATATCACTGAGTTCAACAGGGACGTATGACCACGACTTGCTTATCCACTTTGCTACACAGTAAATTCAAGGTCGATTACCCTCATTCAGTTGTTGGGGCATTCATTCATTCATTAACTTGTTTCCTTATTCGTCCAGCCAATCACTCACAAATTCATTCATTCCATCTATCCTTCCTTTTAATCAGTCCCCATGGATTCGTTCCTTCCTTTGCCTATTCACCCATCTATTCATTCATTAATTCGTTCATTCATTCATTCACTCATTCATTCATTCATTCATTCATCCATCCATTCATTCATTCCTTTCACTCGTTCAGTCAGCCAAACAATCAGAGAGTTGACCGTTCATCCAACCACTCCTTCGCTCCTTTAGCCCTTGCATCATTGGTCGGTTGGAGGTAGAGAGCCACAAAACAGTCTTTCAACCACTCCGCTCCTTTACCCCTTGCATCATTGGTCAGTTGGAGGTAGAGAGCCACAAAACAGTCTTTTGCAAACAGACACACTACATTCTAAACATTCGACGATAGTGTCAGATAAATCCTAGTGGAGTCTCCGGACGTTCATAGAGCTTAATTTGGTAGTCAATTCAGCTTCAACTTTTAGAATATAAAACTTTCACTTTCATAAAAGGTCGCTGAAAGCTCTTCGACAGTCCACAAACGGTTTCGCCCTTATTGAGGTACATCAGATAGGCGCGGTTCCCGAGTTTCTGTCAACTTTATGTTCTCGAATATCGTACCACCTGAAGCATGAGGCGGATTTTGTGCAGCACATCCAGTTGAAGAATATCGTAAACGAGGGATTCAGTTTATTCTCCCATGAAAACCAGATTGCTCTGCAAACGAGTGTATTTGTTGGAATCCCTACTCTTTATTCTGATACCCACCAGTTAGCGCCGTAGTATCCGGTGCACAACCGGGATTTGGGCTATTTAAAGATCAATAGGAATATGGTTACTAGGTCTCACCTTGTACGCGACGTATTTTCCTTCACGTATGGTAACTTTGATCATAAAACCTACCCTTACTTTACTGGCAACAACTCACACAGACGCCGTACTGGACTGCATATTTAAAACGCCCCGTTTGACATGAATTTCTAAGGGACATATAAATTCTGATTAGTTCGTCCATTTTCGGCAAACTTGACCACTGAATAACCTGAGATTTGCTGTTTATATTTTTGGTCGCTGACGGATTTTGAAAAAGAACGAAAATATTTCACGAATTATATTTAAGTTGTTTCTGTAAAAGTACAAATCTTCAGGGTGTGATCGACAATGGACGTGAAGTAACAGCAAATTATGAACAGTATTATTAAAGGACCTCACAAACGTTTAAATGTATGTGCACTTGTGCAATTTACATACTTTCAAACCTTGTTTCCCACTGACCGGAAGCCAGTGGTTACGGTCTTTTGAAAAAACTCACTCGTTGTATTTGTTTCCTCTATTATCAACCTTGAAACCATTTGATTTTACCCGTAACTCATTAGTAAAGTTCACGGAATGTACTGTTTGTAGGATTTGAAACGTTTGAGCTCTTGCCTTAAGCAAGCAATCAAATCGGAAGGTTGAACGACGAAAGACATTTCTGATCCGTAGGCATTGAGCAAAACTTCGGTCTGTAGGACAATGAAGAATGGGCAGTAGGGATAAAGTTAGAGAAAAAGAAGTAAAATAGTGGTATAATGAAGTAAGGAAGAAAAATTTCTTATGACGAGTGAAACTCCCATCTGAGAAGTCGTCAGCCAGTCAATAACAGACCAGACGATGTGGTTTTCTGTGTGAGGAAGAACTAATCACACTGCTGTTCAGCCGATGGTGACCGAAAAGTGAAGGGTTCACACTAACAGCTGGGAGACCGCTGATTCGAAACTCCCTACTGAAGTTACCAGAGTATCAGACTATAGACATGCAAAAGCTTTTGTTACAGGCCAAAATCTACCAATGTAAGTAGTGTAAAAAACATACACCTAGTGATACTTCGACTCCGACTATTTATGGGGAATCATTGCTTATGCTAAAACTGATGCAAAAGCCGCCATGGAGTCGATCGGATTGAAGCGCTTTGAAATCGTATCAAACGTCAGAAGAGGTGCCTTCTTACCTAACCATTGTGACTATCCATGTCACAGACTAAGAACACAATGTAAATTCAGGCAAACGAACATTGGCGAAAACAGACTTCAAAGGATGATACGCGCTTGTGTGACTTAATTATCATGGTAATCTGATTATCAACAAAACGTTGGGTCACACCAAGCGTTGTTAATTGAACTGGCTACAAATTACATCAACACAATTGGATCAGATGATTTCAAAAAGTGTGGAGTGAAACTCGCTGAGGCGAACTACGCTACATGTTTTCAAGCACAAGCAAGGATGTTCGCGTACGGTAGCACTACAAAGTCCGTGAAAAGTGTGATCGAAGAGCATTCATAAAAAATAAACATTTTTTGGTACAAAGGTTCGCGAAGTCCAGATGATTAGATTTCCCAGCTTACTACGGTGACTGAGCCGTGTAATGCACAACACGCAAAATATGCCGTGGGAGCCGAAAAAACGGGTTTCAACCCCAGGAGTATCAAAGTCACAGAAACTTCAAAGATTCTCTGTAGATTTGCAAAACAGTTACTCCTGTTCCAGATAATGACAATGACAGGACATGCATAGGGGCTGTATCAAGGGATGTCAAGATCCTCACTGTTAGCAATCAATTGTCAGTTTGCCTGATAATTAGACACCCGAGCAAATAGCTGCACAATGCCGGACAGGAAATCGGGTACTAAACGGCTCAAAGCCAGGAGTTACATCTTCCAATCTCTAGCATCTCTAGTGACTGTGCGACATCGGTCGTTCTCCTGGAAAACTACTGAGAAGTATTTCTGTACTGGTATGAAATCTGGCCACTTTGTGTGGGACATCTGCAAAGCTGTTGAATTTCGGGCCACAATCTCAAATAAGTACTTCGTGCACAATTTTCAGCATCGTATAAGTAGGCAGGAATAAGGACGGCAAAAGCATGAACAAGGGACTTTACTATGTTTTCTCTCTTTATGAGTTTTCTTGGTAATATATCTTAGGAAAGCCCTATCATCGACCACCACGAAGTGTATTATGAAGGTTATACGTGGAAGATTACTGCAAACTTTAAGACAGATAGAAGAAAGGTTAGTCCGAGTTAGTTATAGGAGTTCATTGGACCAAATTCAGGTGCGCATCCGTTGTTTTTTTCCCGATGAAATTTAAATCCATTTAGACTATGTGCACAAATACACTTACTATAGAAGAGAATGTTGGTAGCTCAGGTAGCATAGATAGTCGTTGGTTAGTTCGCTGAGCTGGGCAATTTGATTGCAAACGTTTCATCACCAATCGAGGTGATATCATCAGTGCGTTGTTAGGGCGCACTGGGGAGCGTAGTGATGGGTTGGTGATTGTGCATTGAGTAGTGTTGTGTGTGTGTGTGTGTGTGTTAATATACATGCTGCTAGCCGGCGTTGACCTTCGGTCAAGGTTGGTTTTTCGGTCGCTCGTTTCCATTGGTTGTTCTGTTATCCTGCGTCCTGATTGATCGATGACCAGGTGAACTGTGAGCCTGGCCTTCCCTGCCCTCGTGCTCTGATCGATGCTGAGTGACCTCTGTCGTTGAACTCTCTTGAAGAGGATAACATCTCAGCAACAACAACAACGAGAGCAAGCGACCAGGCGGGTAGTTCTACCTTACATCCCGAATATAGCTGAACTCACAACCAGATTGTCGGCCGAAAAGAGGAATCGTCGTGGCGACGTTGAGGAAACTGATCTCCAAACCGAAGAACAACCAAAACAAAACCAAGAAGAACAATGTGGCATACAAAATCAACTGCAACAACTGCAACCAATTCTACGTTGGACAAACTGGGAAGAAATTATGCACAGGAATAAAGGAACACAACATGGCCATCAGGAGACATGACCGCTTATCCTTGATATCCTTACACGAAGACGAAGAAGGCCACAAATTCAATGTGGAAAACGTGCAAATCTTGGTATATGGGGACACGAGGCACGGAAGGGATTCTCTGGATGCATGGTACACTATGGCTGATTCGATCAACCGAAGCATTGAACTGGATCCAATTTAAGCATTACTACGTGCAAAGGACCGACTCCTCCACCGGAATACTCAAGGAGAGCCAAATATCGGATTCACAAACCAAGAAGCAAGGAACTGCTCGGATTGGGATGAACAAAGGTGGAAAGCCGGAACCAGAAGTCACTCAGCATCGATCAGAGCACGAGGGCAGGGAAGGCCAGGCTCACAGTTCACCTGGTCATCGATCAATCAGGACGCAGGATAACAGAACAACCAATGGAAACGAGCGACCGAAAAACCAACCTTGACCGAAGGTCAACGCCGGCTAGCAGCATGTATATTAACACACACACACACACACACACACAACACTACTCAATGCACAACCACCAACCCATCGCTATACTCCCCCATACACCCTAACAACGCACTGATGATATCACCTCGATTGGTGATGAAACACTTGCAATCAGATTGCCCAACTCAGCGACCACAAACACACTTTCCTAACATTTCAGCTTTAGACAGGGCATAGCGGATTTTTGGAGGACATGTGTTGATGCACAGGAATATTTACACATGCCATCTGCCCTCAGGAGGATGCTAGCGAAGGAAGATAACTTACAGACAGAATGTAAGTCAATTCAGTGTTTAGTATATCGATTTTTGCAGCCTTTTGGGGAACACGATTTTGACCAGTACTAAGGGTAGCCCTTGGGTTCTCAAGAAAACTGTAAATCACTGTCTGGAACATTCGATCACCAAAAGTTCGTCGCGAAATTACACATTCATTATTGTTTCTACCACTGACGCACACAAAGTCTCATTTAGTCCAGTAACTTTAACTACGTACCTCTCCATGTGTGAAAAACATATTTACTGCGTGCCCGTTGAGCTCCGTTATGGTCCATGTTTGAGAGGATTTGTCCATTTGTTTTTTCTCCAATGAGCAAGTTGCTAGGCTGAGTTCGGGAGCGGAAGATAAACCAACTTTTGAAACCAACCCGTCTGGAACGACCAACCGAACCTGGTTGGGAAAAAACAATGTGACTGAAATGTAACTGTGATGAACATGACTGATACTCTATTCGTTGCTCTATTCATTATTCTCTTGTTTTAATATTCCATATGGTGTACATATTCGCCAATTCGAATACATACGTGCTGGTTGCTACGCTTCGCTGAATTCTGGATTTCTAGTTCGTCTGGTTATACCGATATACCGTACGAAACTAATTCTCACAGTAGCACAATCCGAGAAGTTACTTGTCGGTGATAAACCTAAGAGGAGGGAATCCTGCCTGCGTAAAATATTCCGACTGATAACCACGTATGCTGTAGGGTAGAGAAAAACTGCTCCATAACTCTCCTCAGAATGGAGCAGCGGTGCGTTAAGGTCTTTGAGTATTTAGTCGTTCCGTCCAGTGTTGGTAAATGGGATTTTTAAGACTGCCTCTGTTATCAGCCAAAATTAGTTGAACAGCTGCAGTAGTTCGTTTGCAATAATCCAAAGAATTGATGTCAGCTGAGCTTAGTCTGATTTTGCCCACCCCTGACAGAATCACTGCTGTGGATGTGAAAGTTAGATTAATGCGGTCCTAAATCACGGACCTCCTAGGTTTTCTTTCATTTGTGGATATGTCCGTCAACTTTTAATTTGTAAAGTGCTGCGTTGCGATCCGGGGCGTCCACCTTTCTTCAGTGGTCGTTACCAAACAGCCCCATCAACCGTTTCCGTAAAAAGTCTTTTAGGTTTAGCAGTACTATAAATCTGATTTACATTTGTATACAAATGCACAAAAGTCCACCGACGGATCCCTCGAAAGCGCTGTGCGTTATTTATCGCATTTCGCAGGTTGGCAAATCGCGATATAAATGTACCAAAACTGGGTAAAAGAGCTTAATTATGACGGAACTAGAAATTAGGGCGCATGCACACACTCTAATACAGGGATGGTTGTCCTCTCACCCCGTAGTGCAAAAAGTCTAATTAAACAGCTCACCCGGATATAGAGAAAAACGGTCATTATTAATCATTGTTAACAGCATGCTTGTTCAAACCACCGCACTGTTCCTCCTTCATCAGCCACCATGCATCGAAATAGTTTCCAGTAGATTTCGCAGCTCCACAAATGTTTCGTAGTTTATTGCAAATAAAATTTACGGTTCTCTTTTCATGTATGTTATGGACAGATGCCAGCTGTAACACATGGCGCTCGGAACCAACCATGGGGCTACATATCAGAAGTGGTAAGGTGCTATTCATATAGATGGATATACCAGTTGGCAGAAAGCATAACTAGAATTTTTAAGCTATTATTTATGGGAGAGGGAGTCATCTAATACGTCATGTGCTCTACGTGATCACCTTCGAGAAAAGTCCCATGCTACGGTTATGGGCCTTAATCCTTCCTGTGTGGTTCTGGGTATGCCGGATAGTTCTTAGCCCGCACACATCCTTGAATTTCACAAATACCGATGATTTTATTCTACATCAGCTGGATCCTAGTTACAGACGACAGATCGTCTTAGTTGTTGAGTAAAGCAAACTGGGTGGGCTTAAACTGACCTTATTTGCTTAGTTTCGCTCAACCTTCTCCGTCTCCATCTGATGGTGCTTTGTTTAAATTCCAGTTTTAATCACGTCACCCTTGCACTGAAACAGATATCTAATAACACGCCGTGACTCACACCCTGTGCTCCACTCGCGTTTTCCGGAGCTCGTTCACCTGTTTTTGTCATAATTTTCAAGGTCCTGAGCTTGAAGAGAATAGGCCAACAAGCTGCTTCATTACGTACACTTGGCACTTTATCCACAGAAACCGTCTGATGCAAACAGACATTCGATCAGTTGACCACTTAGTAAACCAGGTTAGCTGACTATCCGGTATGCGAAAACCATCTGACTTTTTAATCAGCGCTTGATCGAAATGTCATCGTTGCAGACGAGCTTTGAAATTAATCGATGGTTCGTTCGTCAAGTGGTAGCGGTTGGATCAAAGGACCACCTCAGACCGGAGTTTGGAATATCCTAGTTCACCTTATTGTTTCATCCTGTACACTAGAAAGATAAATACTATATTGTGATCATGAGTGAGCCCAAGTGCAGCCGTCAATCAATTCAATGACTACAACAAGCTGCCGACGAAACGGTGGATACTACTAGTGGGGGTATGCAAGTAGTATGTTTTCTTCTTGTAAATTCGATTTGTGTCTCTTGAAAAGGGAGATCTGCTGCGAAATTTGTGGAGTCGCTTTGTAGCATTTGCTTGGATTTGAGCAACGGTCAATGGATATCCAGGAAATTTCAGGAAGACGAGTTCAATAGAAGATGGATGCTCAGTTTTTGTAAATAAGATGTATATGAGAGTTTTGCTCCCCTGTCCAATAGTCTGTAACTGGTCAATTGGCATTTGCGAACTAATAACTCCGCAGCGGAGACCTTCTTTTCACCGATATTCGTGTTCATTTAAGCAACGGTTGTTTAGGGAGTATTCTGTAAGTGGAACATCGACAGTACTCTAACCCCCTTTCAGAAGAGAAATTTGTTTATGGGAGTAAACCAGCAAGGACCAATTGTACCTCAGTTAGACTCAACGGATTAATGTCTTTTCCGCTCCATTTACTTCTGCTATTCTGAATTCCATGATCAGCAGGGAAAGAACCAGCATCCTAGCACATTTTTATCTCTCCCCTATTTGTACCACAACGTTGAATCCTGTTGGCTTCTTTTCGAGGAATGAGGCTAGTTCAGTTACGAATTCTAGTACTGAGTGTTTGATTGAAACCTGTTTAATCTTACAAAGGAACGTAAACGGATTCACGGTAGAACTCTTATCCCCAATTCTTTACCATGTGGCTTGACCATAAGATATTCTCTTACGGCTCAAACAAAGAACTTAACAATGTTTCACTGAGACTGACAATAAGTTCCGAAGTTAGGCGATGAACAGCCTCAATTGACGTTGCCATCATCAAGCTAGGAATCTTGCGGAATAACCGTCAACTTTGACCATTTATTGTGAGTCTCGAAGAATATGCTAGTGAGGTGTCTTCTACAACTATAAAAATGGGCTCCAATTCACAACGTTCTGACCCGTTTTGGAGGTAGGACACCTACAGACGAAATGCAGCCAGTAACTAAGAAGAAAGAATAGGAGAAACTCGCATTCAAATAGGCAAAATGTACCTAAATTCAGGCCTACTTTCTAGGCGCATTGATCTTCTAGATTGAGTGATAGTCATACGGTCATAAAATAAAATGAAATAAAAATATACCAACAAACAATCGTACTAATAGGAATTTTATGGAAATTTCTATGGATCCTTCAAACTAGGCATGTTAAAATCTCTATATCACCTCGCATAACTGCAGTAATTCCATCAATTGTTAGCTTCTGTCTAGACAAACATCGTACTTGCGTGTAACCTGAAATTTTATCCAGTATGGTTCTCTATGGTTATAAAGAAATCGCCCTGATCAAATCTTATTATTAGTTTAAATGAGAGTTTCAAACCTGCCTGTAATAAACAAATCTTTTTTATTACCTTCAATTGAATGTTTAGCGCAAAGGACTCAGCAGAACGGAGTGAACTGATTGAGATGCGAGGACCTGATCAACTTGACAAAACCCGAAACAGTGAAAACCGGTAGGGCTGTTTAGGTCTTTCTATGGAAATCCCTATGTTACCAATGAGGAAACAGACCACGCACAATAGGGATGATCAAATTTGACGAGCTTGGATTCAGTTTATTGATAAGTCCCATCATTACGAAACTGGACGCCGTTTACTTCCAAACATGGATGATTTTTGAGACTTCTATTCGTTTTATCTATCAACTAGACAGCTATCATCACACTTACCTCGTTTGTTCCCTGGTTTAGGCGCACTCCAACGCTTTGTCCTGGCTCAACTCGCCGCACCGCAAATGATTTGGCTAGGGGAGTTCGACGTAAACGCAGCGTGCACCAGTTCTCACGTTCCGATTCAATGTGACAGAACAAGTGAAAAGCATGTCTGGAATCCTTCACCAGTAGATTATTGATGCTGACTAGCTGGTCTCCTATATGAAATAGCCGATAAAGTTCCTTGCACGCGTTATTCCAGCCAGCAACCCTTTCGAGAAAGGATGGTAAAAATTTCACAAAGATCTAGTTGTATGGCATAATATGTTTTCATTTTTACCAGAGTTGTATGCCAAAAAGTCAAGTATCGTGTGGCAGACAGTTTATTAAGTATAAGTAATGTTGAATGGTTGTGCCTGACTTAAATCGTGCGATGGGAGATAATGAAACTCTCCACCACTTGTATTATCTATTTTTCCAGCTAACTGGACTAAACTGCAGGTCTCAGTAGACACACTGGTGTATAGCTAAGCCGAATTACTTCAGCTTCAAAGACATGGATGGACGGAAAGCCACTCTGAGTGAATCACCCATCACGAAAAGCTATTTTTGGTAACAGATGTTACTTTGGCATAGGTCCTTTTTGCTTACGCAGTTGAGAAAAGGTAACCTCATCAGTGGATGCCGAGTGAAATAGACAAGCCATGGTTTAGGCCATTTCACGCTATACAGCAGATAAATATGACTATGGTCATCGTATCAGTGCAGTGCGCTGCAAAACTTTGCAACCAATTAATGGTACCTGGAAACAAAAGGAACCTAGTCTGGGTACAAAGGTTCAGCATGAAAAGGCGGTCCGTCACGTTTGGACTTACACATGTGAAGCTTAAACGCTTTGAATCGAAGATATTCACAAGCCTGGTGTGTAACCACGAAGATTGAAGACGCATACTGAAAATTTGAAGGCCGTGAAGTACCAGTGTTTTTCTATGGTTTCGCTGTTAATGCTGATGTTGACGGCTACAGAACGCCACTTTGAAATCTGAGGAATTGGCAACGTTTCACGATCTAGCCACACGCTCCAAAAATCTTAGAGCCAGATTTTGGGACCCTCACTGACATTTAATATGTCCAACCTGGTGCTGCCATCTCGTGGGGGAATTCAAGACTCAAAATGGTTTCGTCAACTCAGTCGAGGTTCACATCGGTTCAGACAGATGAATCTATCTGTGAAAACCTAGCCCCTGACCGTCACATTTATAAAGCAATAGCTAGTGAGGTCCGTGGTGGTGGCGCATTCCGTCATAGTGGGACAGAGGGAGCATTTACTTCAGTTGTTGGGATACACTGTTAAATAGACTGGCTTGTGTCCTGAATGTACTCGAAGTGACATTCTAAGGTACTAACTAGTCCTGATCGATATATTCTGAATTCACCAGGGCCTTAAAAGCTTCACAGTGTAAGTCATCATGAATACAACACTAAGGTGCACTTTCTCCATTTCCCCATAACCTGATTGCAGTATCGTTTAGCTACAAGGATGCTGATGAGGACAAAAGGCACAGGAACATCGGTGAAAAGAACACACTAGCACCTTCTTCCCTTTTTATTCCCATTAAGTTTCAGTCTCCCAAATTACCTCTCCATGTCCACTGGTACAGACACGAATCGGCTTTATACAATTGCATGATCATGGGTGCGCTGAAAGGTTGCTTGTCTGTTGGCCGAGTTCGGCAATCAGGTTGTAAATATTTAGTCACCAATCGCAGAGAAATGCCACTTTAGGATTGGGTGGGTAAAGTCCCTCCTTGCACCTTCAATTCAACAAACCAAGCAGATGTAAGGAAATGAAACAACAACACAAGTCAAAGTACAAGCTGAACAAACAAATTACGCGAGAACTGTTCGCGGTCGGCCAATTAAGTTAGAGTTATTGGATGCTGCTGCACACCGAACATGAAAAATTTACCCACTCAGCCCAGCATGAATCTTGGTGAACGGACCAAGAACCATTGTGACATCAAAATATTTCTAAATGTTAACCCAAACTTCCCCAATCGATATAAGATACTGTGTCTGAGTCAGCTCAAAGCTATCATGATCATACCAAAGCCGTGGTACACAAAGCCGTTGGGCACGGAGATGGAGCATTTGGACTATTTTATGCTTTTTTGTAATGCACTACTCATAGGATTGCTGAAAACACTTCGACAACCCACAACCGGTTTCGCTCTTCTTGGGACTCATCAAGTATGCTCAGTCCCCGAGTTTCCGTCAACCTTATGTTCCCGTTGAAAACGAATTGCACGAAATCACCGAAATACAGTCATTTACAAACAAATTTGGTTTTGCGAGAGACTCAGACAACTGAGATCATCACGAACGAGAAATTCACGTGGGTTCCAGTTGAAAAACCTCTCTCTCACACAAAACCAAGTTTGTGTGCAAATGACTGTATTTCGCTATTTTCTGCTTTCGTGTTAGATTCACAGTTAGTTGGCTGAGTCGACTCAATAGCCTGTTCACATTCGGTCATTTTTTGGATGAACAGACCGAAGTCACTCTGTCTTTTAGTATGCACCTTGTTCCCAAGAATTGTAATGTCACTCTCCTGGCGCATGATGTCGCTGAACACGCCAGGAATAGACAGTCGGGATGATTGTGGTGGGTTAGCTCCAAGTCAATTTTCCTTCCGTTTTCGTTCTTTTTCTTCATAGTGAGAAATTCAAATAAATCACGGTTGTGTGGCTGCTGTCGATGATGAAAATGATGATGATGATGATGATGATGATGATGATGATGATGATGATGATGATGATGATGATGATGATGATGATGATGATGATGTTTCAATACACAGAAACTTTCGACGAAAAGCAGCTCCGAATGCTTTTTGAATGGAATTTTTTCCTATGTGCAATACATTCTGAGGCACCGTAACTTTTATAATAGTAACCGTGCATTGGATTGCTCTCCGGTGGAAGTGACTTTCCTACTGACTTTCGCTGCAAGTGTTTTCACGGGACAGTTGTACGGTCTTACAGGTTGGGGTCTTAAAGTTACTATCAATTTGGCCCGGAATCCGGGAGAAAAAACTTTGTTGACTATATCTTGGAATACTTCATACACGGAACTGGTACAGTGCTGTGATAGTGGGGCAGTTTTTGGTCACTATCTGTGAACTTGCCTCATATTCCGTGTCAGTATGCTCAGTATGTTAAGGACATTCTGTTTGAATTATCCATTGTTGGAGCACCATATGTTTAATATGGTACGAATGCACAAATGTGTGACAGATATGTAGAGTGGCACGCAGAATTGCACAGCGTTAAAAAAATACACACAACTGTGTCCGTGTTTCAGAGTTTGTGAGCGAGTGCAAAGCTGACCACCGGGTTTATGAAACTGCGCTCGTTCGGACTTTTGGTCATTGATCCGGAATGACACCACATTGTCATCAACATGCTCGATGAAAATTGACGTGTAACTAATGATATTAATCGGAATCCATCGCTAACCGAACACAATCACTATTCGTATAAACTACCTTGGTTTTGTTTATGGTAAAAAGCCGTGCTGAAAAATCAATGATTACGCGTCAGCTTCACAGGAGTCAGTGCAGTACATTCGTTCAAATATATTGTGAATAGGGGATCTCTCTGGAATTCAGCCGAGTCCCCCTTAGCGTCGATTTAACTTCCAAATAGGTGTTTAGCTCAATGAAAGTCAGGGGAAATCCACTTCACTTGGACTGCCTTCGAAACCTACCAGACACTTAGGTCATCCAAACGGAATGCTTACTTTTGATAATCTCAGCTTTGGATTTAAACGAATCAGGATAGTAATGTAAGGTGTCTTGCACAGAGACAACAACTTAAACGTTGTTCCTGTGATTCTCCATCTATTTTATTGGGAATGGGATATTTGTGAAAGTTCAGAGGTCACGTCATGCAGATAAGCAAGCTTGAGAACAGAATGGAAAGATAAATGAGCGACCAAGCGAAGGACATAGCCCGTGTGTCTTTTGTTAGCCCAACCTGTAGCTAGGTTCACACTCGTCGGTATGTACATCCTACCATGAGCAAACCACATTGATCAAAATGGTTGTTACTAGTATCTAAACCTCGAATCACAAAGCTCAATTAGGACCGTTCTCATTTGAATTAGTTTTCGCAGTTTTTTATGATTGGTAAAGTCCTATCACTGAATGGTAGCAAAAAATTTCGGGAAACTTTGTTCGGTTCACACAGTTGGTTTAGTTTGAAACTACAGAATTTTATTCGCATTAGAACCGATGAAGTGAGCGTAGTCAGTCATGGTCCGAGAGGGACGGTCTTATAGCTATCACCAGAAGTCATCATCCTCATCACCAGGGAGTTATCAGACGGCTTCTCCGTGAGAGGTGAGTGGTACACCCATGTTTCAGTATGTATGTATAAGCTCGAGATAGTACGGTCGTTAAAAGAGCGATCTGACTGAAATTGCTTCTTTCCAGTAAAAAGGTTCAGTGATCTTCTCCGCGTTAAGCTAGAGATGATGAGGTTGGTCGCATTTGAACTAAGTTGTTGGAATTTGAGGTTCTGACGTACGCTATCGGATTAGGTGTCTGGAGTCATAGTTTTATTTTTCCTGTAGTTCACTGTTAATGGAAGAGCTGAAGTTGCTCTAGATAACAACGATAGCATTGTGTAATAATTCTGCTTGTGGCACTAGTTCCATTCAAAATAAACTTATGATCCTATAGAGAGCTCAAACTATGGAAAGATTGCTTCTGATTAGAATTTATTCGGGATAAACCAATTTCAGTGGAAGACACATTTCAGTCTTTTCCTGAAGGCAGTAACTCTGGAATGACAGATTTTATTGAATATGCTGCGGTCGTATTCCAGTCCAAGTAGAATGACAAATATGTGATCTGTTTTTTGCTGCGTCTGATGCAGTTCGGTTACGTAATGACAGCTTAGAAACTGAAAATACACACCACGAGCTGAATATTTAGTATTTTGTTCATTGCTTTTCAACTCCGAGTAACCAGGTGCAAAGTGAATACGATATCAATTACTTTAAAATGTGAAGATCAGTGCCTCAGTCTCATACACCAATAGGCAAAGCCAGATTTCAGTCAGATTAAGCGAGACCATTTAGTGACAGAATACTCTGAACAACAAAATGGGGACACAAATGTGTTAGTACTGTACGATCAGCCATTCTCAGGAACAATTCGATCGCCAATTACGCATAAGATTTCTGTTTATCAAAAAGCCGATGTTATAAACACAGAGTACTTTTGTGTTAGCGCAAAATGTGTGCAACCGGTGGGGGGAATAAGATCAATGAACCATGACGAATGGAGATAGTTCCAACATACTAGTCGGCACTTCCCAATATATTTTCTTTTTGTGATTATATATTGCACATAAAAACTAAGAGAGGTATGGCCAGCTGTTTCCGAACGGTGATATCTCCAAGAACAGTAATACTACTGTGGATCTCGAGTGCTCAAATTCTGCTTGCCGTCTAACTTACCAAACACGATGGCCTGCATTGACAAAGGCAACATATCGTCGAAAGTCGGATGGAACTCCTTCGGTGATAATGCCACCAGGATAGAGGATTTCTCGCTGCAGCTGAAGCACTTCGCGGAAAAGTGGATCTTTGTGGGATAAATTTGGAGCTGAGGAAGTACGATGCAAAAACTTGTAAATTGGTTTCCTGTTGCGGAAAAAAATGGTTGTAAAACTCGGCAACTTAGGGATTGCAAGTCACTTTCTTTCAGATATATAAAATGAAGAACACATTTTTGGTTTGCATCCAAGGATTCAGCTGAGGGCACAAGATGAAAGAGTGATAGTATTACCAAGTGAGAAAATGCTCTATCTTGTCACAGCCACCTGCCGAGTAACAGTTCAACTGAAACACTTAATTAACTGCGTTTTATGGTAGGTCACATCCTGATTTTTCGTAGTGAGAGAGAAGAAGGACATACAGGCTTGCTCACATGGACAGAGGACACAGATCTTTGTCTCCTATTTGATGCAATGGATCAGGGGAACTTAGTGTTTTACACCAGACAAAACAGTGTAAGGAATCTCCAAATGGGAAAATGGACTTTTCAAATAAGAAAACCACGCTTTCTATCAACTATCAGTGAGAAAAATTCCGGATTAACAGCTAGAGCCAGAATCGGTTTTGAAACTAGCTGTTCAGTAGGAAAGGGTTCGCATCGGTTTCATCTGATCAGCATCTACAGGTTTTCGTGTGGTCCCACACTATCTTAATTTCTAGTCAAAGTTGTTCGCCAACCCTGTAACTACGTACCAGCAAACCTGTTTGTTCAGTCATGCTTCCTTGGTGGACAGCGGACGAACAGCGTAAAGGTCACAGTTCTTCATCAAGCTGGAATTCCTGCCGATACGCAGGTCATGTCATGACGAACAGTGATTAATTCGGAGGAAAGACACAACCCCCCTACTTTTAATCAGATTTAGTGTAAGCCAAGTGAAAAGAATCACACACTTTGCAGTGAGAACAATGTGCGGCACATGGTCAGCGACGACACTTTCACCGGACATTTTTGACAGCCTTTAAAAGTATTTTTCATCAAGCTGGAATTCCTGCCTATACGCAGGTCATGTCATGATGAACAGTGCTTACTTCGCAGAAAAACACAATTCTCCCCCTACTTTTATTCAGATTTAGTGTACACCAAGCGAAAAGAATCATACACTGCAGTGAGAACAGTGTGCGGCAAATGGTCAGCGACGACACTTTCATCGGACATTTTTGACAGCCTTTAAAAGTATTCAATAAGAACACTGTGAAATACACATAACGCCAGCAACTACCACCAGAGAATGAACTACCTTTCTCTTTGAATCCCCATCTGCTGCGATTCGCACAAAATATGAGTGTAGCTAAAAGAACCTAGAATTTGCGTGCTGGGCTCTTTTTACTCATAAAAATCACAATTTATCAACTTGCTGTTTAGGAGTAAAGATACTGCTTGGTACTTCAAAAAGAAGGCTACGTTTACTCTGGAAACTAGAAATCCATTCAAATGCTGACTTATGCAAACAAAACTCAGAAAATCCAAACGTGGTATAAATGTGCTGTGCTTCAGGCGTTACGGTGATACAGTAGTGATACAACCCTGGACGACTTTGAAAACGACAAGGACACGTGCTGCTCAGAGTTCCATGCGAATTCAGACTCTTGAAATGAACAGGCTGATTTTGCGTCTACAAACGTGGTATAAATATGCTGTGTTTCAGGCGTTATGGTGATACAGTAGTGATACAATCCTGGACCACCTTGCAAACGACATGCTGCTTAGAGTTCCATGCGAATTCAAACTCTTGAAATGAACAGGCTGATTTTGCGTCCAACTCTTGGTTAAAATATTCTACACCCCGTCCCAAATAGCGTCAGACTAACCACAAATTACCCTAACAAACTGAGTTGTGGAGCAAGATACTTTAGAAATTTCATAATATTGATCGCAAACACCACACTACACGCAACGCGAACTGGCTTATATGTGTAAAAAATCACGGAGATAGTGGTGCATTTTATGACTTACTACTGAAATCAGCTGAGCTGTGTTGACTTGAGTAAATTGAGTGTCTAGTATGCGTACGTTGGAACCTGTTAGTAATTGAGATTGGTGGAACTGATGGATCAAACGAAGTTGGTGACGGGTTTGGTGGAATTCCGAACGTAGATGTTTCTTGATTTGTAAAACAACCTGCCGACCTGTCCAGCCGAGTCGAACGCTGAAATTCAAAACATAAAACGACTACTATGCTTATTTAACTTGTCGGCATGACTATGGACAGGATACTCAAACCAATCCTGATTCACAAAAGTCACTTTTTTTCTACTTGTTTCGTTGGATTTAACGTAGTAGAATTGTGAGGAAAATGCATCACGAAGACGTCAGCTTGTTGAGAGGTAAATGCTCACTAATAGGGCTGGCGGCAAGTTGTCAGCTTTCTAATCTGTCATCAGCGGTTCTGGTGAGGTGCATTAACAAACACAGACAGACAGACGGACAGACGGACAGATAGACAAACAGGTATTAATTATTCATGAATGTATCCCGTCGCTGCAGGTAAAGCGGTTGGTATGATCAAAAGCCTGAATATCAATTCGTCGGGTTTCAGGGGCACGCTTAAATGCAACAGCGCGGTTGCAAATCAGGACACCAAAAGTAAGGGAATGGCCATGAATAGCAAATATAGGGTCTGTTCATAAAGCAGTGGCCATGGTAACTATGATGGCCTTCCTTTCGCCATCGACACCCATCTATGAAATTTAAGAAAGTACCTCCAAAAATACATTTTAAGGCAACGCTCGTCACTGTACCGATCTGCTAAAGGCCTTCTATCAGCTTGATGCATGCTTAAAATACCGACGTTCGAGCAAAACTAAGGAAGTTCAGTTACTCTTAATCAAAACAGGTTGCCGAACAACATGTAAACATAGGGTAGCGGGTACACTATATTGGGCTGAAGTGACATGTAGTCTTGTACTGAACTGAAATACCTAACTGAAGTACTGCTGGCACTTTCCTAGGCCTGACGTTTTTTGATGAATTACAGTCCTTCGGGCTTCAGTCATCCTTTCCCAACCAATTACTGCAAGTTTTATCGTATTTATCGTTGTTTGGATGATGTTGCCAGAGCAGTGGGATTGAGTTGAACTTTCTAAGTACATGTGGCGGTGTCACAAAATCCTTAAATGAAATACCGGTCAGGTTAAAATTCTGAGTATCTTCATGTAAACGTCTAGATCACATATATCTAAAGGCATGGCATTAATCAACTTTATGTGCATTTGTTCGTCAACAGTGTATAAGAATAGTGTTCCGGCTAATTGGTTGATTTGTCATAGAGAACTTGAATCGTCTGGGATGAGAAAGTCGAGGTTGGACTTCACTGATAACGCTAAGCAAGATAGATGTTCCAAAAATGACTAGGATCTTGTCGAAAATTTAATCGTCCTTTGCGTACAAACACAGGGTCGCGCCCAGATCCTCGATCAAATCTGTGGACTGGATAATCGAGGTCAGCAGCACTTGTGCTGTCGGTTTCTTTCTAAGTTGTCTGATAGAGCGCCTAGAGGTATACGCACTTAGAATGCTTGCGGTAACCTAACATCACGTACATCACTCACACTTTATCCTCCGATGACTACCACCCTGAAAACTGATCGTTCAAACCCAGATCACTGCTCAACTTCACTCGTCCACCAACCGGAGAGATCTCCTCATTACATGGCTGCTTAACGCAGCATAGAGATAGGTCCGTCGTTGTGCGCTGAATAGCATCGGCTTAAATATGCTACCTACTAAGGATTGCACACGAGCTATCAGTCGATAGTACCCACGTGAGAGTGCATTGATTTTTCTAGTGGGTATTCAAGCGTATATCCGGTCAATCGTTCTTCTTGACTGATTGTGACCAAAAGCATTCGGCTGCATAATCATTCCAAAAAACATGTACATTTCAGTTTCAAAGGTTACTTTCCGTCATTCTAGCAGACTGCCCTATATCAACAAATGGTTGGTGCGCCAGAAATCTTACCAGCCCAGTTCTATCACAGGCGATGGATCCAATTTGGCCTTCTTCTTATACCAATCTAATTTGCAGCTTAGTAAATTGTGCCTCTTACATAAACTTTTTTTCAAGTAAATCAAAAGATTATTTTAAAAAAATCGGAGCTTATGCCTACCCGATTAGACCCAAGAAGAGCCATCGAGGCATTTTCATCAGCCTTAGAAGTAGTGCCTTGTGTCTAGAATTTGTGTCCAGCAGTCTGACAGTTAACGCCAAGTAAAAGAGGTGTCTAGTTGTTTGGTATAACCAGTGCCAAAAGTGGGCTACCACCTATTTGTTTTCTAACCGTTTCAACAAGCATTGTTAGATGAGATGAATAATAAGATCATGTGCGCTTTTTAACCTCGATTAAGAAAATAAAAAAAATCTGGAGAGTATCCTCTGGGAAGAGGGAGACTGACAGTTTAATTAATTAACTAATTTAACGTAACTGGGACGAAATAAACTCACTTCTTCGTCGTTGAACCACATTTTACAAGTGACGCCTATGCAATGTCGGTTTTCAGAAAAGTGAACAAATGTACAGTAATCCAAGGGCGCACGGGTTTCACAGTCTGAGACTTGTTCAAGAAGAAGGTTCTGGATTATTGGTGGGGGGAAACGTAGTATTATTTTTCTCTAGACTTGACACGTATTTGGTGGCTGAAAGAACAGAATACATTATTACTGATGAGTAAAAATTAAACGACACACGATTTGTACGGTTTTTTCACCCGAAGGGAAGCAAAACACGATGTTTAACCATGGATTACTAATGATCAGATAACCATTTTTAGGTTTATAAATGTCTTTGGAGAGTGAAAGTCTTCCAGGCCATTCGCATCTTACTGTCTGTGTTGATAGGAATTTGTCATATACCCTGATTTTGAGGTTATCTGTTCCGATCGAATACTGTTAACGAGCACCAAGGCTTATAACCCGTCTCCTCATAGTTTGTCCATCCAAATTGTTTATCTGTTCACACTCGTAAATCAGTTTCTCCAACAAGCAACTTGTTTTTTGTAATTTTTTCCTTCTGACCTAAAATCTCCTTAAAATCTCAAACATGTTGTTTCACTCGTAAGCCATTAAGGATCTATCTAACTTGCAAGTCATCTTGCAGCTTTATAAACTGGTCTGTGTGACTATTGGCCTTATTGCAAATTGAAGCCATGAGATTTGATTTGCTCACTTTAGCTTACTACATGCTGAGGTAAAGTTCTTGGATTAGCAAGAGGTTGAATTCGTTAATAATCACAGTCATCGCCATGATAAAGAGTCATCCAGTGTTTAAAACTGATGCGTCGTTGTGGCAAAGCCATAGTTCATTTGAAAGCTTACTATGGACAAAAGAATAAATCTAGATATGTAGGGCCTCAATTCTAGCCTCACACGATTAATTACGAGGTGCTTGCGACTCTAGACATTCTTCAGAAAATCTGAATGGAAACTGATAGCAGAGAAGCTACTTCCTTCCATTTGCAAGGCAGACTGCAGCCTAGTAGGCGGGTTGCATGAACAGTGCCCAGAATTTTCGCAATCTAGTATATATCCCTCCGCCATGCCGAAGGATGACACATTCTCGGCTCACATCATTCTGAATTAGACAATACTTTCTGACAATGGACATTTAGCATGCGTCTGGCAGGCCATCCCAGACATTGGTGGTGGACATATGCTTTAGTCGACGCCTCTGTTATTTGTATCTTCTCGGATTTTCCGGCCCTAGGCACCAAGATTTGTCAATGATGTTACGTTATCGACGACGATGATGAGTTACTGCTTTGTTGGTTGTTAATTTACCCTGATTTACTGAGCAGTCTTGCAGCCTAACGTTTGGAACGCTTCCGGATCATGCTGTTAATCTGCTCTTCAGAAAAATATATATATTGGTTGCGACGAGCTGTTGGAAGGAACAATAAATATAATGCATGAACACTCACGAAAGATTGTTCAAACTTATTTCATGAACATGGCGCCGAATCGTTGACACAGAAGTGATAGGAGCAGAAAACTGGCAATATTTTCAACACATGCAGTGTCATTTTCGTTTTGACTTCATGGCAACTATCAGCCCTAAGCGTGACATCACTGCGGCTGTTTTTCGTACTAAAGTTGCAAATTCACATCTAACAACGCATTCTCTCCCAAGCCACTCATTTTCTCCTCGCCGTACTTGAAGCTGTCTCCGTCTCCTGGTAGCCTGGCTTCAGCAGTGATCTTGCGTGCTCCAATGGATGGCCTCAATTTACTTAAGTTTTAGCAGCCTCGGAAAGCCGACGGAGAGAGTCTAGCGAAGGACATCAAATATTTCATACTGCAACAGATTTCAGTAACTGAGGGCAGCATTTTGTTGTCCCATGCTGTAGACGTGTGAAGGAAGAAAGGCGTTTCCTTCAAGCAACCAGTAAATCAATATTTCTGGAGGCAGCCATGAACCTCGTAGAAAGACGAAAAGCAAAGGGTTGGCCCTAGAATTAGCACACTTATATTGCACAACAGTCGACATTTATCACCGTCTAGTTATTTAACACAGTCGGAAAGTAATAAAAGAATCTCCATGGGCTTCATTAGGCCCTCAAAGTCTCTGCTGCATGCAGCACCATCAGCAGTGAAACATCTATATCTTATTTCCCGCGCCCTCGGTTTAGGCCAGTCTCCTGCAGCCAAGCATATTGAACTACTAAGCCATCGGTTACTGACAGAGTCCCCAAAGAAAACCCTACTGGCCACGGCCTCTTGGATCAGGATTTTGAGGTAGAGGCTAGACAGCAGGGTTATTAAGCGAACTCCTACATCATTGTGCTTCCTTTCAGATTAAACATGGGAGTTAGTGACACAAGGTGAGGTACATCAATCAAACTCTCAATCTTAGCCTAGGTAGCCAAAAGGTATCAACTGCTCCCAGATTCATTGGTTCACATAGTCTGTCTCACCTTTTCTTTACCCAGAAATTTCCGACCAATTAAGTTGTCGACCACTTAAATCCCACTCCCTATCTAAGCATCTTTCTAGCAAAAATTTGCAAACGGTTATTCTGTCTATGCTTCCTATACTGACTCATGCATGTTGTGTTTCCGAAAGATAAATACAAGACCCCACGTTGATCATATCTCTAAAACTTTCTGAGACGAAGTGAGACTTCTTGTTATTTACTTTTCTGGTGTCTGATGATCTAGAAGTAATGATGCGTGGTAGCTATGGCGTGGAAGTTGTGCTTAAACCAAGATCCAAGTGTGCTTTAGTGGACAGGATTTCTGTAAACGGTGGTCTTTCTTGCACTGCCAGGTTGGATGGTCTCAGCCAGATTAGTGAATTTCGACGCAGCAAACAGTGTTTGCCTGTTGTTTCAGCAAACGCTCCTACGGCTAGTAGACCTGAGGCATCTATCGATATTTATCACCTCGTTACTCTCAGTGGGAAGTACCAATATCATGAATTTGAAAATTAATATGAGTGCCCAGGTATGCCGAAGATCTCCTGAGAAAGCCCATCTTGGAACCCAAACATGAGCTAGCAGTCACCGCGGAAGTAATGTGGGTCTTCTCAGTTACCTTCTGACCGTCATTTTTCTACTCAGTACGAACGTTTGGCACAAGCCTTGACAACATGTGACTTTCAGGCCACAAATTGTGGATTAGCTACTGACTTAGCTGGACTATGTGTAAAACGATGAAAAGCTTCTCCATAAGATTGTTGTTAATTTCTAATATCCCAATTGGCCCCAATTACTACTTGGTGCAAGCGCAAGTACCTGTCAGCTCTCCAATGAAAAACCCCCGGATGATACTTACCGACTCATTCCGTCACCTTCAGAGTATCTCGGTGGCTCAAAAATATCTCGTTTATTTGGCTGAAAAGCTTCCAGATCAGGATGATAACAATGGTTCTAATATTGGTGCTGATAACGATTAGAGGAAAATAAAGTTTGCTATCGTACCTCAACGGAAACTGTATCCTGCTTATTTACAGCATTTCTGAATAAAGCTACGAAAACTATACAAACAACAGGCGGTTACAATAGGGCATGAACACCCCATAAATGCTGAATAATGAAGGGCCTGAGGATCAGCAGAGATTGTAAAGACTCCGGAACTGGGGAAAATTTTGCAACGGGACATAACTGCACCCCGTTCTAGCTTGTCTGACCGACTGGTGCAAGATATATGGGTGATACTCAAATGGTACCCGGAAAGAACGGAATCTCAATCCTCTCATAGAACGTTTGTTTTATGGGGTTGTCCCAACACGATAAGGAACAGTTTATCTCTACCCCATCATCTCAATCCCTTGGTGTACTATGTGATCCAGAATGGATCACAGGCTAAAGTTCAGCGTGCAGGTTTATTGTTTCAGTGCATCAGAGTATCTGGTTTAGAGGTGTTGCTTCCTTCACTTTTCAAACAAACTGGTGAGTCCTTTAAGGAAGACCTTGGAATTTCAATCTAAGATATATGGAATAAAGGCAGAATACCGATAGAATACAACGCTTAGTCCTATGTACTAAAGGGGTGCAAGAACACCGTTTGAAAATCACCACAGTTCCTTGAATATAGCTTTCAAAGTGTTCTCTGGTATTATTTCATACACTGACGCATAACTGGGAGAGTAAAATTCACGAGAATCAAACTGCGTTTTTCCTGGACGTGACTGAATCGACGAAATCTTAACGTTGCAGCAAGCGCTTGGTTATGCCTTTTAACGGTCATGAGTGAGGGCATGTCTAGATCCGGCGGTAGCTTTTTATCATCAGAAGATGCGAAAGTGCCTGTGAAAATAGGTAGTATCATCTCCATCCTATAAAATTTCTATATGCTTCTTCCCGAGGATCCACATGCGCCTACGAAGAACGACGCCCTGAGTTCACTACATGCAGTCGTGTCACATGAGGATGACCTCCATCGAACCTCCCTCCCTATAAACTTTGTAATCAATATGCTGCTTAAATTCTACTTCTTTCTTTCCGAACACATCGAGGATCAAAATACTTCCAGATAGTCTGCTGATGGGCTTTCCGCCTGGCAGCGATGCTTTCAATTTTAGCAAGAAAGCTGATTGCATTGCTGCAGTGCAGCTGCACCAAAGCTGCTGCTGCAAGTTGCAACATTGTCTGTTACAAGACTGACGGGAAAATTCTGGGAGGCCGACCGTCCTGTAGCATGAAAAATATATGGCCAAACCGGTGCAATATCTATTGTCTTGATGAGCTCAAAACAGCCCATCAAGTGCTGACGCGGGTGCAAGAATGCTGCATTATTGCTGCTGAAACCGGAGCATTATTGCTCCAGTACTTTTACAAAACCAAAATGCAACAGTACATCACTAAACCTCAATCGTTTAGGTATAGCATTCTTTTGATACCTAAACGAAATCGCATATGGAAGTGAGAACTGCCTGGCCACCCGGGTCTTGGCATGTGTAGTCGAGATTCCAAGGCTGACGTGGTGTATTAAGTTGTGCAATCAAATGGGCATAGTTATTTTTACTATTGTTCAAATAATCACCTTCTTAAATCCAGCTCTTTCTAGACAAACAAATGCTGCATGACCAAAAGGCTGACGATTGTGACTTACTGGAAAATTCAGCAGTGAAATCGCCAGCATTTGGCAGCATGATTTGCACTGGCCGAACTATAAATATTTCTACACCGATTGTTGTACATAAACATACTCCTTAGAATCATCAAAAGTTGCTTAACACAGATGTAAATCCTAGCAAGGTAGACTGCTCAAAGTTCTGCTAACTTGGCGGCAGTAGGACCACAGTCGAGATGAGGTTTACTCATGAATACTGACGGTTTGTGCTGCGTTAGGAAAATGCAGCAAGGCGGTTGCATTTTACAAGTTGGTACCTCTTATTCTATTTGTATGTCGTATTCTGTTTACATCTTGGTTGCTTACACTCAGCACTCGTTGGACAAAAGGCGCTCTGTGATGCAGATAACCCGCTGGAAAGCAAAGTGTGTCACAAAAAGCATTTCTTACTTTGTATGAGTAGTTTTTCCTTCTCAAAAGTTGTTTCTTCCTAAGGCAATCTGATGCGTCTCAGCATTGTTAATTTAGCTATTCCGCAACCCTCGACGAGAGTTCTGCGGACATAAAACCTTTTCAAAAGGTTTTCACGCGAATAGGTTATATTTGTGATTCATAGTACAGTATGGATTGCACTGCAACACTGAAGACTCTACCTTTGGTAGACAAACTTACGTCATGCCAGCACCATAGGCATTCGAAGCTAAAAAGTCTACCCTAACTTTTCCACTTTGAAAAGTGATCTTGACCCCACCCGTCCAACCAGAACCAAAACAATTTTTTGCATAAACAAATTTACCTTCCATGCCAATTCGTTGGTCTGCAAGCGTTAGACTCGGGTTTGAGTTCACCACTCTTGTAGAGGCATGTTGTGGGTTAAGGTAAGTTTAAGAAGCATACAAAAAAAATGCAAAAAATCACTTAATTTATTTAGGAGTACTCGAGTTCTTGAGAAGTCCGAAATGAAGGATGCGGCACGTCCCACATACTCATTATTTGTGAGCAAATATGTCTAGAGGTTTGTGGTTCTTGGGCTTTCAGAATCAAATAATGATGTTCTAAGCAGCACGTCAATAAATATTCAAAGAAAAATAACGATAGGTGGATTTCTTTTCTTACGCAACCGAGCATGAGGAACTCAGGCGGCAGTTCAAAATATGCTTGTGTATACTCACAGGGGTTGTCATACAGTGCCATAATTAAAAGATGAAAATTCGAAAACAAACATATGCACAACAGGGGCCACCATATTTTCTTACAATGTACAAGGGCCAAAAGCAGCCTTCAGATCATGAAAAATGACCAAAGTGAAACGCTTGGAAGAATGAAACGGTTTGAGATGCTGTCGTAGGGTAAAGATATTGTCACCGAACTTCCAGTTACGGAGGAAATTGGCTTCATTCTCACGGATTTTCCTATCGAAATTGATCAGCCTGTCCAAAATATTGTCAAATAATACCTTATTCGCTGTGGCTACAAAGTTAATGTCATTACCATGTTAACATCATGACATCATCATGTTATCCTCACGACGGTGGAATGAAACGCTACTTTAGTTTTCAAGAAAATACATGAATTCGTGTAACTTTCTTGAAAACTGGAATAACGTTTTATTCCGCCGTCGTTCTGTTTTTCCTCTAAGTCCCCCGTAGTAAGGTATATCACTATTACCACAACTTTTTTATTCTTCATTTTTGTGACCTATGGGGAGTTCATGAAAGGCTCCCTAGGATTTTAATAATAAAAAGAACCTTTGTAATGTACTACTCATAAGGTTGCTGAAAATACATAGACAGCCCACGACCGGTTTCGCCCTTCTTGGGGCTCAATATTATAAACGAGAGATTCAGCTGGGTTCCAGGTGAGTCTTTCGAAAGAACCAAATTAGTTTGCAGATGAGTGTATATTCGCTAAAATAGAAACTTTATTTGGCTTATATGCACTGCAACAGCGTTTTTAAGTATTTCTTCCATTCGCTCTGCTTCTTTGCGTAAGATGTAATGCTTTTTAAAATATAATCCCCGGCGTCTTACAGTCTTTGTATACATGTCATGGGAGTGTTGTTGACACAAATCAGTGATATCTAAAGCGCCACTCAGCGACTATGTATGACTATACAGTCGAAAATGAGGTATTTATCGTGGAGGTCCAATTTGTATATGCCCAGTAAACACGCCACCGCGGCACCACCGGTGGCAAGAGGTGGCAAATAGGGGTGGCATGTTACGCTTCCCACCGATGGCTTCACTGGTGGCTAAAAGCGGCCAAAGTTGGCAACCCAAAAATTTCATAATATATTTAATCGGTGGTGCATTCAAACAAATCGGTTTCAAAAATTACTTCGTAAATAGAGCTCCAGTATCCAGAGTATCCTGCTACATTTGTTTTCAGAAGGCTTTTATGCAACAAATACTATGTTTGGCTTGTATTCACCAACAAAATTAGCGGCAAAGCTAGTCACATTTGGCCACCGTTAGCCACCGGTGGCCCTGTGTTTACCGGGGGACTAACTAAATAAGTATTTCTTCCATTCGCTCTGCTTCTTTGCGTAAGATGTAATGCTTTTTAAAATATAATCCCCGGCGTCTTACAGTCTTTGTATACATGTCATGGGAGTGTTGTTGACACAAATCAGTGATATCTAAAGCGCCACTCAGCGACTATGTATGACTATACAGTCGAAAATGAGGTATTTATCGTGGAGGTCCAATTTGTATATGCCCAGTAAACACGCCACCGCGGCACCACCGGTGGCAAGAGGTGGCAAATAGGGGTGGCATGTTACGCTTCCCACCGATGGCTTCACTGGTGGCTAAAAGCGGCCAAAGTTGGCAACCCAAAAATTTCATAATATATTTAATCGGTGGTGCATTCAAACAAATCGGTTTCAAAAATTACTTCGTAAATAGAGCTCCAGTATCCAGAGTATCCTGCTACATTTGTTTTCAGAAGGCTTTTATGCAACAAATACTATGTTTGGCTTGTATTCACCAACAAAATTAGCGGCAAAGCTAGTCACATTTGGCCACAGTTAGCCACCGGTGGCACTGTGTTTACCGGGTGACTGACTAACGATAAATTGTTTCCGAGGATGTGGTAATAGCATCAACTCGTAGTAAGGTCGATGGAGTTACCATTAAGGTTTCGCTAACTTTAAAATTACAAGATGCAGTCCACCTTGGCAGGGTCCCCAGTCTAGCTGCAAGAGATTTGGATCCAAGCTGCGTAGACGAGATAGGAAGTTTCTGTGATTTGTCCCACCAGTACACCATTAAAAACCAAGTAATCCTTAAATAGTCCACTTGACCTAACGTAAACGTCTTGAACAATAATGTCCTGGTGACACCCTCGAAAGAATTTACATATTTTGTTATGTTTAGCGATTAGAAGAAGCTGGGAAACATTTCACTGAGCACTGTTGATGAAATACTAATTGGAAATTAGGCACATCTTACTCCGGATTTTAATCACACTATCTGCTGCTGAAATCTGCTGCGTCCACGAGCGCTGCCAGGATTTGAATCAACGCTGTTAGGTGGCCTTGAAATTTTGCGCAACCTGCCGCAGAAACATGTTCCTGATACAAAGTGTCTGAATGAAATGATTCTCCGTCATATTCCCTCCTCGGAAGCCCTTTAGTTTCCGCCGAAGTAACTTCAGTCTCTACCTAATGGTCAGGCGATAAGGCCCACTCTTGTCTGTTACTGTGGCTAAGTTGAAATCGACCTGATGAATACACCATGAGCTGGATTTATCCACAGAAATGACTAAATAATTAACCGGGCAGTTTTGTTCTACGAAGTTAATTTTAAATGACCTTCTGGGAAGGTAATACATTACCAGAATAAAAGCTGCTTACGTGATGAATGACGGCGTTTTCGGTAATGTGCTCATAGCTGTCTATTACGAAAAATCCACGTGTATATATTGACGTGACAGATTGGGGAGATGCCGTGACAGACCATGAGTGAGACTTTGTGATGAAATATGTAAACATCGCTCGTTTTCATCGAATAGAAACTTGTTCAGTACTCCGTTTATTAAACAAAATATTTTCAGAATGTTCGCCAAAATAAACCTTGACTCTTGCGAGATTCTTCAAAATGTCCGATTTACATTACCCTATCTTGATAAGGTGTAAAATTGGGTTCCTAACCGAATATACGCCACCAAGTAACGTACAGCTGGTTTTGATACTCAGGTCAGCACCGAAGGGTGGGATATCATTATAGAGTCTTCCTCGTTCATTACATTCATGCTCGCATGACTGGTTTGTTTGACTGAAGCTACCTCAAACTTGAACTTTCAGGTGGTAATGCAATATTTCAGCTTGAACCAAATTTGTGGCGAGACATAGATCCAACTTCGGCATTGCTTTTCAGGTCCTGACCGACCCAGCGTGCAGGCGCTTATTCAGTATTAAGAAAATGGGGACTGCCGAGTGGCTAGTTGATGTGCAAATTATACGGAAGTTGACGCCGATGGACTACAACAGGCCCTTCTGGCCTAATGGAACAGGTTGTAGTTACGTTCCCATGTACAATCCAACCCACTCCATAGAATGGCCAGATAGTAAAATTTATGTTCGAGTCGCCATGACCTGCAAAAATCTCTCGTGGTCTGTAATTAGTCTGCGTTGAGGCGGAAAGATGAGCCATAATGGAACGCACGACTCACGGGTCCATACCGCATCGCGTGGGGCGAGAGTTTGATTTGCCATAAGAAATCATGCACTGCCCGACTGACAATTACTTTGACGCAATGCAGTGCCGTATGGTCTACACGCTTCAGAAGTTGCAACAGAAGTCCGTCAGCCTGTTTACATGAACAATCATAGGGTCGGAAACGAGAACAATGGTCGGTGGCTTCATTCTGGATTAGTTCCTAGGAAAAATAAGCTGCCCGTTTTACGATGCTGTGATACCCCGATTCACGAACTCGGCGTTCAATTGACAAAATGGTATACCTATTCTTTCACCGATATGATGTCGTGATGTGGAGCCAAATGTTAACTGGGTAGTCTCCAAGAGCATCATAAGTGCTGTGTGTAAATGCTATGATCAGCAAATCTATGGCGGCGTACGGCGACTAATAAAAGAAACTTTGTAACACATTAGTGTTAGACTTTGACAATGAGTGTTTTCGGCATATGTTTTACCACGCAAAATGTGCTAAATGTTCACGAAATGTGACCGTAATGAGAGATGAAACGGGAAACTTGTATCTGGAGGATATAGATTGGTGCGTTGCTGAAAAGGTTTTAATGCCCGACATTAAAATGAGACCATGATTATACGTCCGTACCATGTAGATCTCTAAGGGATCTATATCACATCTCATGATATTTTCTGGTCCTTTCTCAAGATGCGTAACAAAGGCATTCGCTGAATCCCCTCCAAACGACACATGGACGCACTTTTCGTCATTCAGAGGAAGGTGCCAGTCCAACGGCCACTGCTTAGCAGCATCTACATCCACCTGTAGGGCACTGGCATTGGAACTCCAGGATTTCAAGTCGTCCGCAAAAAGTAGACATGGACTTGCAAGAACATCTGGGAGGTCGTTGACGTAGATCGGAAACAGCATTGGTTCCAGAACGGAGCCTTGAGGAACTCCAATGGAGACCGGCGTCGGAGAAGAGAAGGTCGAGCCTATTCCCACTCCGAATGATCTGTCTGATAGGGACGCCTTGATCCAGCGAGGGATTTTCCCCTGAATCCCGTAAGACTCGCGTTTGTGGAGCAGCGGGACGTGTGGGATCCTATCAAATGCTTTTGAGAAGTCGAAAAATATGGCATCCGATATGAGTCCTTCGTCTTCGGCTTGGGTTAAGCTGTCCACAAACACGAGCATGTTTGTCACGCAAGACCGGTTTGGGAGAAATTCGTGTTGAGTTGGAGATATCAGGTTGTTGGAAGTAAGGTTATCTAGGATAACTCACTTCTGAATGCGTTCCATCACCTCGCACGGCACGCTACTGAGAGTTAAAGGCCTGTAACTTCAAGGCGATAGTCGGTCACCAGTTTTGTAGATTGGTGCGGCAATCACTTCCTTCCAAGCAGGAGGAAGGTGGCCTTCCTCAAACGACTGACGAAACGCCGTGTTTAGATGATTTGCCAGTGTGGAGGACGTTTCTTTCAGGATCATTGGTTGGATCTCGTCGGGCCCAAACACGCAGAATGGGTTGATCTTATGCAAGAGTTGACGAATGTCCTCCACCTTGAAGACCTACTCGGTTAGGGGCTGTTCGTATTTCCGCCTTGATCATTGGAAGTTCTGTAAAGCCCGCCCACATTTTCTAATGCCTTGACAGGCTGCAGCGTGAGTGAAAAAGAGGCGGGTAGCTTTTACGATACGAGGAGGCTCAACTATTTGGTATCAAACACCATCTTTTGAACAAAGCGGAGGAAAACCCTCATATGCGCGACCGACTACATGTCAACTTATTACGCCTCCCCGATAGGACGCCTCACCAGGCATCCAAAGGCCAAAATGGAACAAATCAGTTGCCTTTACCACTGATCCGACGTTCTCAGAGTCCCACTGAAATCCTACGAAAAGGTCGCGCATGGTTTGGAAATATGCCCAACTATGTGTAGGTTGTAGTGGTCGGGCTACCCAATGAGTTAGTTTACCAGGAGTGTGTGGCAAAGAAATAAAAATGATTACGCTAGGTTGGGCACACAAAAATAAAGAGACCAGACGGGACAGACTCACTAAAAATTGTTCTCTTTAAAATAGTCCGTCGTTGGCCCAGGTCAGCGAATAAACAATAATCCAATTATGTTGGTACAGAGGTCTTCTTCTGAACATTTCCCACATATAATAGATTCCGAAGATGTCTGAAATGTTTTGGTACTAGAGTTAGTACATGATACTCGCGAATGACCGCTGCAAGCGCGAGCGAAATCAGAAGAGAGAGTCGAAGCACGTGACCACGCTTGTATTCTTTGAAATTGTACAAGTGCGCGTCTTCGTAGTTTTTCGTATTCAAACAAAAAACGATTATGTAATTGATGAAATAAGTAGTGTTATAATGGAAGCAAAATAAGGGTACAAAATGCCACAAGGTCATCGAATTAGTGGCGGAAATACCAAACCGATTAACGGTAAGTATGATTTCCCGTGAGGGAAGTGCGAAATTTTAGTAAGTACTTTTTAGCGTGGTTAAGTGCAGCTGAAAGTAACAAATCAGAATGCCTGCCAAGCCTTGTTATATGTTTCCACATTGTTAATTAACAAATCACTGGGCGACGCTCCTTTGGGAGTAGAAATTTCTCGCTGCTCTGCAATAGGATTTCATTGCATCAAGGTTGTTTGAAAGATAAAGGATGGTAGATACAACGTAGGACACTTGTGCGTTGCTATAATACCAGAATATATTTTTGAAGGTGGCAGGAAACTTAAGGCCTTGTGGTCGAATTAGACGAATGTACCTCGAGGTACCTTAATTAAGGTACTATTAGTACAGGGAAAAAATATAAGGACACCTAACATCCCATTATTTTAAAGCAATTCCCTTTAAAATTCCTCACGAATAGCACTATTACTACAGCTTTCCGACTCTTCATTTATGTGGTTTATGAGTTGACCATGAAATGTAAACTTATGGTGGTTTATTTGCACTGTAGCTGTTTCATTGATTGTCTGTTCCAGTTAAACTCTGTATTTGCCTGAAGTATAGCGTTTATATCTCGTAATCTGTGGCAACTGACATGTCTTCCATGTTTACATTCATGTATACATGCGAACGGCGCGATTGTTTTCGACACAAATCAGTTATACCTAAAGCGCCATCAAGCGAGGATGTATAACTTTGCGGTTGTAAATGAAAGATTTATTGTATGGACACAGTTTATAAGACAAGAAACGAAACGAAATTCCTTGTGAGGTTGTGGTAGTGGCAGCAATAAGGTACTTCCGTCAGCTCAGGAAAACCAACATTTTCGTGGTTCGTCCCTGGTCTACCCAAGCAGTAACGCTTAACGTGACCTAGTAGGCTTTCTAATCCACTAAGTGGAATATGTGTCACTCCGTATGATTGTAGAGTGTCAACCACCATATTTAGATTTTGGCTGTAAGTCAACAACCCATCCGATTAAGAGCTTACACCTAGCTGTTCTTGAAGTGATGCATTTCACTTACTTTCGAATTCTGACGATGGAAAGAACAACAAGAGATTCGCTATTTGTGACTTTCAAAATAATAGCTACTATTCTGAGTGTATATTTCTGTATACAAACACAGACCTTCCGGTTAACAAGGGTGAGAAACGGAAACGAACACTTCAGAACCAGAGGTTTCAGAGTACCTGAAACATCACTCACTGACCTGTTTGAGCTATTTTGCTTCATAGTGTTGACAAAACTACGCAGTGTGGTCTCGGCTTCTGCTGTGATGACTTATGCTGCATATAGTGTTACGGATTATATACAGCCACCGAAAAGTTGCTACGGATCAAATTTCTTAACTCAGGATTGCATACAGGGAACTAAAGTCGTAGGTTTACTTCCCCACTTCCTGACCGCATACTGGTTGAAGACAGCGTCAATATTCACGCCAAATGGGGAGTCAACATAACGCAGCAAAGGCTCTAAAAGTGCCTTCACCAAGGGACTAATTACCTACTGAGCCGGTAGGTTGAGAAAACTGAACTATAAAAAGCGGCTCCAAAACCAACCGTCTGGTGCAATCGGAACAGTGCCAACTTCTATTTTGTCTGCTGATAAACCACTAGCCGCACCTCTGCTGAGGACGGTACAGCCGGATGGATTGACGTTTAAAAAGGAAAACGCAAATATGACGCCGCATAAGAAAATATGGACCATTAAGGCAAACTGTCACAATTTGTTTGCTTAAACCTATAAAAAATACCAAGGAAATATATGATGCGGACATGGAAGAGACAACGCTGAGGGTTAATAAATTACCGGAAGAAAGTGAGTCTGGAGAGATGGTGCGGAAGACTCTCCGCAGGTGCAGGGAATAAAGCTGACTATTCACGTGAGGCCGCTAAAACTGATCCTAAGTTGTAAAAAAGGCTTTTTTTAACTGTGCAGAGTCAAATATTTTAGAACGGACCATGAATTATCCTTTTGGATATAGAGCGGAAGAACAGTGAAGCACAACGTGGGTCAGAGACGTTAACGAAAAAGGGAATAAATGCCGGAAAGACGATTCTTTGTGTTTGAAATTTTTATGCAAGCAGAATGCTTTGACGCGGAATGAGTATACTGGTATCCGTGAAATCAAATTTACCGCTTTGCTTGCTTGTGCAAATGTGACTGTCTTGTTCTGAAAAAGGGGCAAATTGTAGGTAAAATCGCAGGTATTTCATCAAAAGTTTTTAGCCTAACAAAGATATGGCCTTGAGGTGAAGCTGCGTATTCAGAAGTCGTACTCTTCAGCTAAAACTAATAACGATGCTCAGAACGCAGGGCAAAGGAGTTTTACTTTACATGACACAGCGATAGTAACTGTGCCTTGCCTTAATTTATTAGTCACCGCGACTAGAGATAATCTGATGCCCTTGGGGCCTCGAAAGCTTTCGGCATCTAGAGACCACCTGAATTTAGCAGTCCCCTCGAAGCTTACTAGGGGCCTCCGAAAAATGTATCCGTTATCGCTCCACGTTGCGAGGACCAGCAGTTGAAAATGCTTGCTGCTACCACACGGATGTTTCGTTAAAAAGTAAAAGAAACATGGTTATCATTGCCTCTGTCAATCATAGACAGACTTTTAGACGTTTTAACAGCACCTTTAATGAGAGAACCGTGGCCTCGTTAATCAAAGTCCAGCTGGAATAAATGTGTTACAGAAAGTTTGTTTGTTTGTTCAATATCGGTTTTTTAAAACTTAAAAGAAGAAAAACGTAAAATGAGTAAGTATGGCATTATAAAATATAGCTAGTGCAATCTTTTGAGGAAATTTAAAGGAAATCTCCGCACAACCTGTCCACCTTTAGATTCACATAAATAGCCGTACTTGGACATAAGCTTTATCCACAGAGACGTAGGATAGCAAGTAAATTGCCATCACAAAAGACCAAAGCGAGGCGAACATTGAGAACTATTTTTGAAAAGCATTTTTTGACTCACTAAGGCTTCTTGAGCCAAAACACACCGAGGTAAAACAAATCCCAGATCCATTGAAAGCAAAAGCGGAACAAGTGTACAGTATTAGAAATGTCAGTGATTCTGTTTCGCCTAGATAGGCGAAAGTTTTCATCTGATAACACTGGACCATTTCTTATCGGTAGCCCTTACTCCATCTATAAAAATAGGTATGGCAAAAATAGTCCATTTTAAGCTTTATTTACAAATTTGATGATAAACAATATCTGAACAATTTTCAGCTAGTTAATCTGACGTCAAAACCTATGAGAATGTTATAGAGTGCTGAATATAGATATTTCTGCAGCAGTTACCTGAGAATAACGCTTTAAAACATTAAAGTTTGTGCAGTTTTGTAATATACCGATCCTGCTACCAGAAATGGCTGCTGGTGCGCAAAATATGGGCAAGATATGTTGATAAGTGACAATAGGTGGGTGTGGTATGGGTCGGCTCTAGTAAGGCGTTCAGAAGACTGCACCACAACTCTTTCCTTAGCCTTCTTAAGGGTAGCCGACTTTCTGTCAGACCGTCATCACAACCGCAGGGTGAACGGCCAACTTTATGAAGTCTAACCAGCAAGCACTGGTGTAATTCTAGGGTCAGACTGAGTCATGAACTGTTCAAAATCTATGCAAAAAACTCACTTCGGGGTCCACGGGAAACGCAACAGACGTTTGCAAACGATCTGAAGGTGTGGTATAGCATCCGGATAAACGAATCTAGAAGATCTCTACAAATTATTTTAGACAACAAAATGCAATGCTGTAAGTGGTCGGATTGCCTACCAACACGACCAAATTTACGCAGTGTAAGAATACAAACAAAACAGCCATATTTTCTAAATAACTGACTGGTACCATTAAAAGTTGAGGATTTTCGCTTACTCTTTGTTATCTGCAGCAATCTTGAGGTTAACAACCACACCACAGTGTCCGCATGCAAAAGCCGCATGCTGTTATTAGCTTTGAAATTCAAGATTGCCCTTTGGACTAGGGAAACTCCTACGGAAATATTGTCCATATTTAGTGGTATCGTGCGTAGGCTTATTTTCGATACACAAAGAAGCAGTCAAATTAAGCACAAATTTTGGCCGCCAAGTGTCACATATTAGCTGAATTAAAAGCTGTCTAGAGCATGATATGCCTACGAGTAAATACCGCCACACCTATTGAAACAGCATTTTTAAGCATCAAGTTCTATAAGGGTGGAACTTTTTGTGCTAACTGTGTTGCTATTTAATCTGGTAACGAATCTGAAAAGAGCAAGCAAAAACTTAAAAAAGCTTAGGTTTTAAGGTTACTATAATTTTTCTTCCTGTCTCTAAGAGTTTTAGACCTGTGAAATAGCCTTCAAGGCAGTGTTTCAACGAGTAAAGCCATCACACAACTATCTGCGTACTAGAACTCATGAAAGTGCAAGACAAAAACAGCGAGTATATACCCTGCACACCCTTTGGGTTTCATCTAATGGCTCCGTGGTTTGGTGTTAAAACAGGATAATCTGGGTAAATTTCCAAGGCTCCTACATTCAGGCAGATAATCCGGACTCATTTTTTGACCAACGAGCACCTTAAAAGATAGTAACTCGTACGAACTCATTTTGAATGTGACTTTGTCAAAACGTGCCTCTGCTGTTTGGGTACCTCAGCAAAGTTGCTCGATTTATCTTTTTGGGTCTGAGGCAGTAAAATTCTTAACAAATATCTATCATCGAACAATACTTGAACAGATAATAATGCTTATAACCAGGTTTTTAAAACGAGGTAGCTAATACCCCCAGAGAAAAAGACAAACGAAGGTTTACGCTGATAAGTGGCTTGTACAGCTGGACATGGCTTTACGATACCAGAAGGAAACTTTCTGGATGGCTTGTGTTAAAATTACAAAATCCGAACAAAGAGCTACATTGCTGTAACCTAGTAATGCAATAAAGAATAAAAGAATTACTTGGTGGTCAAATCCGCAGCTCTAGTATAAATGTGACAACAACTTTAA